AAGGCTTTATCAAACCGAGAGACTCGAAAGTTGCTGGTGTTTTCTCTTCATCTGGTGCAGTAGACGAAGTACTGGCGTCTTCTGGAGCGGGCATTTTGGGATTTTGGCGGTTGATCGTCGAAGAGGAAGAACCAAAATTTGGCGGCGTCTATTTGTCAGTTTCTCACGGCTGTCTAAATGCAACCAATGATGATAATTCCCGGGCCAATTAGATCACACCTACCTCTTGCTCATACCTTTGCATGCTCGACTGCGCGGGCGCATTCTAAAGCTAATCCGAACCTCGACGCACCCATCGACGACGGAATCATATTGAAAGCGATCGAAAACGCGACGGAATCGCCAGAGGCTGGGCTCGGGACCTTGAAGCAACCACAATGCCGACGGAACATCAGGTCCTCGTTTCCTACACTGGGCCCAAGTTCTTTCTCGGAACTCAGAAATGGAATATCTTCCACCAGTCGATGGTTTCCCAATTCCCGTTGCAAAACGTTCAATGGCGGTCATCTTCACGAAACAGTAATGTCAAGACCATTCCATCTCTGGATGTCAAGCTAGTTCTCCTGGAGTATGTTCGCGATGAACTGGCTTCCCAAGTGCCTTCTACGATTCTGGAAAAGCCTATCCTTCATGTTTACATTGCACACTGTGAGGTAGCTACTCAAGCCGTGTTTTATGCGGTTCAGCTCATTGCAACTTCGTTCAGGATCACGATCTAGACACTTACAAGGCGTTGAAGAAGGAGATCAAGGAATGGACCATGCTTGTCTCCCAGAAGAAGAATCCAGAATGGTTAATACTCCAGATCGTCACGCCAGACCCTGCAAAACAACCTCGTACCGGTCTCTTCGGCGGTTCTGTGCTCGAGAAACTGAAGGCAGACTTCAATCTCCCTGACAAACGAAATCGGTAATTGTCTTCGGTCTACCAGAGACCTATCCTTCTCTCTGACATCCTGTCCAGGTGTGCTCAGATCAGCTATTCACCCAACCTTGAGAACCGCCTCCTATGGGCAGAGTTTCACAGCTCCATGAAAGAATGCTTGTCGTATGCCCTGGACAACGCCATCTCTCAGCGGCAAGAAGATGTTCGGAGATCCGAAAGCCAGCAGCAAATGCCAGGTTGGAATTTTTGCACGTTCTTTATCTTGAAGGAGAGCCTTGCTCTCTCCTACGAAGGGATCAATCTCTTCGAAGACGCGCTGGCCCAGTACGAAGAACTGGAATCATCCTTTCTACAGGTTTCAAAGGAGAGGAATATGTCATGGTTTGGAGCCTTGATCAACCCTGCCGACGGTGATGACTCTGCCCCCTTGCTGTCACCCAGCAAGAAACCATATCGAGAACTTATCTTGGCCAACAATATCTCAATCTTCGACCTCAGGGTATACATTCTGTCCCGCCAGTGTCGACTGATTGCGAAGGCTGGCCAAGTAGACCGAGTACCGCGGAAAGTTGGGGCTTTTCTAGGCTCTATGAGCAAAAGCCTTGCTCAGGTTTTGGTGGGTAACATCGCAGTCAAATCGGATCTCGCTCACATTCTTGGTCGAAAAGGAAACACTGCCAAGATTTTTCATACAATCCTGGGTTTACTCTGCTGCTACCGATACTGTGGAACAATTAAAGACTTGGATGCAGAAATACCCCCCAAAGAACGGAGAGAAGGCAGTTTACGCTGGGATTGGAGAACTTCTCGACTTAGCTCGGTCACAAGTAGGTCCCATCGAATAACCCCAGTTCCAGCCTTCTCATCGCTAGGATATCAGCTCGACGTAATTGGGATCGAGCTGGGCACGTTGCCTGATACCCCACCTTTTTCCATGTCTTTGCCCAATCGGAGTAAAGGCCGCTCCTCGTCGGACAGCGGTGCAGTCACCAACAAATCTCTTCTCGATGTGCTGGACCATCCCGAAAACTTTTACGATCTCTATGTACATCACGCCAACGAAGCTATCGCCATGTACGCAAAGTCGGATCGAAGTCGCTTTGGTGTAAAGCTCTACGGATGTATCGCTGCGCTTGACCTGTAAGTTGAACTTCCTCATGATGGTTCACTTCTATATGTTTTCTTTCCAGGCATCGAGGAAACCTGCAACGCGCTTTACAAACATACTCATCCCTGGCGTCTCACTACTCCCCTCACACCTGGGTCTCTATGGAGTCTTATATGTTTTCACGGGCCCTAGACACCCACAAGAAACTCGAAAAACCTCGGGATAGTGAATGGATCCATCTAATCTTGTCCTTCCTCAAAGCATTTGTGGAGAACTCCGGTGCAGAGGCGTTAATCTCATCCAGCAATTCAAACGGCTATGTGTCCGATTTTGTGCATGAAGTCAAGGAAGTTGCCGCCGGACTCGACAATGGTAGGTCCCCATCGCGGTCAATGCTGGCAGCCGAATCTAACTCGAGTAGACATTCGTTATGCGGACCACCCCATTTTATCACTTGAAGTCGCGAGAACGGCAACTCTCGCCGGTGATAGAGATGGTTCAACCTTGGAAGTCACCGTTTGCAACAATCTGCCCTGCGTAAGTCCCTAATTCCTTTCCCTTGTTCTCGATGGATTTTGACTTCCCCGAAGCCATTCCCAGCCGACGAAATCCTGGTTATACTCTCAGGCCGCGACTTCGAAAGATTTCAATTCACTACAACAACTGAGAGCCTTCCACCTGGGAAGAGCAAAGTCACGCTATTCTGTCCTGTGAGTCTTGTTACAAATTCAAAACCGTGGCCGCTAACTGCGCTTTAGAATGCAGCATCTGGGACCTTCTTTGTTGACTCAAGCGACGTTCGTGCGACGAAGCTTCTCTTACAATACCCACAGCGGAAGAGCACATATTCCACAAATCACCAGATTGTGCGGGTCAATCCTGACCCGCTGGCTCTGAACGTCCGGGTCTTCCAGTCTAGAACAGGTAGGAACTCATGCGAATCGCCCCATGATTAAGCTGATAGGTATAGTCGAGCTTGGAAAGCCGTTCAGTGTTTCGCTTCGCGTATGGACCGGGAGAAACGCTATCGATACCCTCGAACTTCGCCTTTCTGCTCCGTCAGCGTCTTTTAGGTTCAAAGATGCATCATTGGACGATGGTATGAAACCTGACTCTCAGCCGAAATTGTCGTTAAAGCTCACTCAACATACAGAGGACTCTGAGATTAATCTCGAAACCGATCACAACGGGATAAAGCTTAAAGACCTGCCAAAAGACACGACCGTTCGCCTTTCCATTCCTTATTCTGAATCAATCAGCACACAATCCATGGTCTGCACCGACACTTTCTCACTTTATCCGAAGCTGAATAAAGCCATCTTGCTAGCGGGTCGACACAGAAGTTGATTATACCACAGTGGACGAGCCTGACTTGCAGCGAATCATGAGATTTGCAAGCAATATCAGCCCAAGTTTGCCCATTTCTGTTCGCGTGCAAGATTGGTTCCGCGAATCAAGGTCTTTGTTCATTCTTATTCCTGACTGTTCCATATGTCTAAAGGGAACGCCAGGTTAATATCGTCGTTTTCGGTCAAGTCGACAACACATCAGTACATCCGTGTGGCATCTGCCCGCCTGGTGGTGCCGGAAGGGTTGAAAGGCATACAGGTGACTCCATGCAATATTCGACAAGGCATTATCGTACGTGGGTTGATCTGCCCTCTGGCCCTCATGATGACTTATTGTTGCGCAGACTGTGACGCCCAATGAGAATGCGAACTTCCTTTTCGCTTTGGACTCTATGGATGAGGCCGGTATGTGCGCCTCTTCGTGATATATGAAATGCCTGACCAATGTAATAACTAGGTGGCGAGTCGCTCAGTTTCCATATCAAGTACCGCTTACTTCGCGAAGGTATGCTAGATTATGTTCAGGTCATGCATTCCCTGACGATGTTCCTTTATAGAGGTAGCCAGTATCATCGAGGACCAAGTACGATCAGTGCTGGAGCAATCGTCCAAATCTCAGGATATTCGACCGCTGGTTGTCGAGAAGTTGATCGAACTTCTTGAACGGGATGCTAACTGGGTGTCTCTATACAACATAACCGGAGAAATCGAACTGCCGGACCCAGCGAAAGAAGATCACGAACTAGGTGAAATGCTTTCCAAAACCATTGAGGTGTGTTCTCGACGTCCGCGACCGGAGGCTCGAGCTTAGAGTTGACCGGTTTCAACAGCAACTCAAACATCATCGACATCCCAAACAACCTGAAGGGATTTGGCGTGAGCTCACCTTGCCTGTGGATGTGCCAGTAAAAAGCGTAAGTGATTTCCCGATGCGAATACGATGGTAGTTGATGCTTGAAAAGATTGTGGCAACGGCGAGCATCAACATTATTTCAACCCCCTTCAGCGCAAGTCAAGGCCTCGATGCACCACTATCGCTATATGCTGGACAACCCATCAACGCCGAACTCGTCATTCGAACATCATTCAGATGGGGAACGGAGGACGATACAAGTCAGAAATATGTGCTGAACTACCAAATTGAAGACATGACCCGCGAATGGCTTATCGGTGGTGTAAAGCAGGGTGACTTTATAGCAGAGGTGCGTAACTTCTCAATCCTGCTCGGCGAGCTCGAAAATGATTAATGTCGAGCAGAAGGACGGGCAAATATCGATTCCTCTCACTCTGATGGCCCTCCACCACGGCGAATTCGGACTGCCCAAAGTACATGTACAAGCTCGGCTCAGTGGGCGAGACGTAACTATGAACTCTCGGGCTCCTCCCAGTGTTGAGACATACCAGCAGCACCGCGCTGTCAAGGTACTTGTTCTTCCTCGAGGAGGTCGGAGCACATTCGTTATTTCAATGGGCGCTGATCCTGATTATTAATTGTTACCCCTTTGTCAACACTATTCATTCAGCACTTATCATGATCTCCATTGTAATACCAGCGCTCTGGCCTGGACACTACTTGTTCGAACTTCAACTTGAGATCCGGAGGCTCAACTGGCCTATGTCGGGCCGCCGATAGGGGTACTGGTATAGCACCTAACACATGCCCCATGGCTGAGTTGGTTACAGCGTCCGACTGTTAAGAATCTGTTCTCAGCTCATCGGAAGGTCGTGAGTTCGAGCCTCACTGGGGCAGGTTATATTTTGGTTGGGTCTACCACTGCATTATCGAATAAGTTTAGGATCCTCCGATTTATTTTTCTGCTGCATTTTTCTGAAATGAGGCGTCACTTAACCTTTAGCCTTGCATCCAAAATGCGGTGGTGGGGTCTCTAGACACTGGATGCATCGATATACATCATTGAAGTTGAAGTTCAACGTTGAACTGACAATGAACCTGAGTGAATGAAGGGGATATCTACCTCTAGGCTGCCTCTACCCCTTACTCTAAAGATTGGACTGTCCGAATGCCAAAAAAGCTGCCTGCCCCAGTGAGGGTTGAACTCACGACCTTCCGATAAGCTTGGAACAAGTTCCTAACAGTCGGACGCTGTAACCAACTCAGCCATGGGGCACATAACATATACGTCGTCCCCGACCCCTCCGACCCGCCATCTTGCTTTCACGTCGGTAGAGGCTCGGGAGGTCCATTGAGAAATACAAAAAAGCGTTGAATATGGCTTCTGAGCAAAAGGTACTGCCCCAGTGAGGCTCGAACTCACGACCTTCCGATGAGCTTCAAAGTAAATCTACTTTTAACAGTCGGACGCTGTGACCAACTCAGCCATGGGGCAGATATCGGAAGCCCAGGCCCGATGCCCCCGATTGGCGAACGTTGGTAGATAGGTGTCAGTTGTTGCGTTTAGTAGCGAAGCAAAAAGACTCTCGGACCTCAGAGAGGTTAGCAAGATATATCTTGCTGCCCCAGTGAGGGTTGAACTCACGACCTTCCGATGTGCTTCGAGCTAAAGCTCTTAACAGTCGGACGCTGTAACCAACTCAGCCATGGGGCACATATTAGCCGCCCGGCCCCGACACTCCCGGCCAACCACAATTGGCAAGTGTCGGCATTCAGGAAGGTTAAACTGGCCAACTTGAAGTTTGAACGAATCACACTGGAGTAAGAGGCATCAAGGTTGTTAATTCAATGCAAGTATTAAGATTTAATACAAAGAAACAGATCAAAGATATATGAATTGACCAATGTTCAGACAAGGATAATGAACAAGTCACGAGTGGTAACCTTCCTCCAAGAAAAAGAACAGGTAAAGTAGTGCAAAGCACAAAGTTCGTCCACGCGTCGGCGTCATCGGTGCATTGAGGGCCACATTGGGAATGGCTGCAGGTGGTTTGAAAGGGGGTATGATAGAGGTTTGAGAGCTGAGAAAAAAGAAGGAAAGTTAGCGATCAAGAAACGAGACAGAAAGGAGGAAACCAACATACCGAGTCAAGACATGAGCCTAGTCGAAAACGCCATCATCGACCTGAGACCAGCTGAAGCCAGATCGGAGGTGGAGAGGGGGCAAAGCACGCTGGCGTCTGGGGCGCAAGGCATATTCCGCCCTGTGCTCCTCGCGCTCAGCGGTGCAACGTGCGTTGGGGTAGAAAGTGACTCCAATGATGTCGGAGTCGTTGACCTTCCCACTTGCACCACCGAGCATAGAAGGCGGTTGAGGCAAACCGCGCTCGATGGCTTCAGGTCGAATGGGCATCAAGAACGACGCGCACTCGTCGTCCGACTCGTCCTCCGTATCTGAGGAAGGGAGCGGCCTCGCTCGAAATGGGACTCGCTTGGGTCGCACGGCGTATTCTGCCTTGTGCTCTTCCCGCTCGGCAGTGCATCGAGCGTTGGGATAGAAGGTGACACCGATGATTTCCGAGTCGTTGATTTTGGTAGCTTTGCTGACCATAGAGGGAGGCTGCGGGAGACCGCGAGCAACTGCCTCGGCTCGGATTGGCATGGGGAAGACGGCACCATCCACAGAGAGTGACCGATGGATGGGTCGGAGGTGCACTGGAACCCGCTTGGGGCGCAAGGCGTATTCTGCCTTGTGCTCTTCCCGCTCAGTGGTGCAACGAGCATTGGGGTAGAAAGTGACGCCAATGATGTCCGAGTCGTTGACCTTGGCATTATCAAGCATAGATGGGGGTTGAGGCAAGCCTCGCTCGATAGCCTCAGATCGGATTGGCATGGGGGTGAAGACGGCGAAGGACATCATTGTGATGTTTGGGGAAAAGAGATAGAGTTGTTTGTTTCAAAATGAGATGAGCTGTGATGATGCAAGTTGCAAGTCAAGTTTGGTTTCCTTCTAACGCAGCAGGTCGGGGGTTTATATGCTTTTCGAGAATAGGAGAAACTTGTTGTGTTTCATTCCGGCACAGACAGAGTCACGGTAGTCGCAGAGTTCAAGTTGGTAAGCTATAGGAGTTCTGCTTATTGAGCGAAAGACATTCTCAGCTTTCGGTGACGCATGGTCGGTGTAGAACAGTGTGTGAATCGCCATAGAGTAAGACCTTGGGGGACACGGTGACACAGGGAAACAGAAGGTTGCAGGAGAGCCGGTGTGGAACATATAGCATGAATCACGCATGCGCGTAGAACAGAACCGGTGGCACGATAGAACTTGAGAAGCAAGGATGCCAGTGAAGAGCCAGGTGGTAGCTTGCGACGCAGGGATATAGGAGAGACAACCATTCCCTAGACCTAGCAATGCCTCGCGATGCATATGATGCATATACAGCACAGGGACAATATTTCACTAAGCAGGAATGTTAGTGTAGACCCAAATGGTGTTCAAGAGACCTTGGGCACGAAGGCGAGCAAGTGAGCGAAAAGACCTACATAGGTCTCATGTCCCAGGTTTGCAAAACCACGTTGGAAGGGGTACCCCATAAGCAACATAAAATTTCACACTACCACACAGAAAGTAACAACAGTAAGAGGTGGGTTGCGACGCGCTGAATAGCCAACATCCCATAATCCCAATCCACCTCGGCTCGCAACACGAAACAAATCGCATCGTCAAATATCAAGAAATGACCACTCACATCGTTCCCATATCCCACAGCACCGTCCTCCCATTGAACCACGATACACCGCAGCAGAGGAACACAGAAAGCAGGGAAGCAACAACAACACCGCGCTATTCTGCGCCAATGTGTATATGCAGCCTGTAAGTTTCAGGCGTCAGCCTCCGCAACCTAGACATAAAAAGGAGCATATCAGCAACCAACCCAGACAATTCCAGTTCCGTATGATAAAGCAGAAACCCAACCCTGTCTCTGTCTCTCCAGCATCAGAGACACCAATGATACGCATGACGCAACCAGAAACAGCGTGAAAGGGGCGAAAGAACCAGAACCGAAATAGTCGCAGAAAGAAAAGGAGAGAACAGTCTCATGTCCATGGCCAGAACGCATCGTTGGCATGACTGGAACCGCAACAACTCCACACGATCCAAAGTCTACAGGTTATGAGGCACGCCGACGGAGCGCGACGGCGACCAGGCAAGGTCGACAAGTAGTAGGAATATGCAAATGAAGTCTTGACTCACCATTCTTCCCCTGACAAGGCTTCTGAGACCACCCACTAACGGCACCTCCTCGAGTCCCATCGAGAGCCGACTGTTGAGTTCTGGTGCATTCAACACTTCTCAGACCAACCCGGGTTGCGAGCTAGACATTAACACCAAAAATCAAGATGTCACAGAACACCAATTCAACGTGAATGCAGAACGAGGGCGACGGTCATCGACGAGAACGGGTCAGAAACAGACAACGCTCGATCAAAACTCTCCCACCAGCGCGTCCTCAACCAGCCAAAGAATGCACAAAAAGGTGCGTCACCTGTGCGATTCGAACACACGCGTGCAAAGCACAACCGCTTGTATGCAAGATAGCAGGCGATCCCGTTAACCACTCCGGCAAAGTGACTTGTGAAATTCGCCGCGCTGCTTGCGTCACGACACGGCCCCGCATGGCCCCACGATGATGAAAATGCTGCGATCGCCAGGCCGAGGCGCAGCAGGACGCGTAGAAGGAGTCATAAGGCGGAAGCAAAATACTTACGAATAAGCGTAACAGCATTTCGGTCAACCTAGACCTTCCCTCTGTGTGTGTGATTTGCAAAGCGAGAAAAAACTTTTCTTCCATAGTACACTTCGATTTCATAAGATAGAAGCAACGTAAAAATAAACAAAAAGTGTTCCGCCAATTTTAGCGTACAATTGAAAGCCCACGAGTTTTGTGTATGTTACACGCGCGATTCGAGTTGAAGCGCATCGCCAAATCGTTCGTTGGTGTGGTCAATGTTGTTTTTGGCGTTGTGTTGTTGTTGTTGTTGTTTTTACAAGGTCGTAGACTCTTCAATGAACTCCCTCATATACTGCACGATCCTGTCAACTTGTTCTTCCTCAAGGGCGTTGTACAAGGAGACACGGATGCCGCCAACCGAGCTATAAAAAAACGGAGGAGGTCCCACAGGCACAAGGCACATTCACGGCGTTCAACGGAAAGAGGGAGAAGAACAGTCAGCGATCGGTACCGACCCGTGCGCAGAATGGTTGTGAACAAATTGGGTCAAATGGTAGACAGACGCGAAAGGGAGGACGACGGAAGATGAGAATATTCTGATGAACTCACCGGTGCCCCTTGAGACCCTTCATTCCACGCTTCTCAGCGCCAGCCAAGAACTTGCCTTCCGCGCCGTCTCCAGGCACGTTGAACACAATGTTCATCCAGCTGCGGCTCCCTTCTTTGACGCGAGGGACGAACACACCCCTCGCCTCACCCTCCCGCACAGCCGCATACACCTTCTCCTGCTTCTTCCTGTTCGTCTCGAGAAAGTACGCGAGGCCGCCGAGGGTCTTCATCCTCCGCAACACCAAGCCCGCTACATAGAGCGAGAACACGGGGGGAGTGTTGGGCACACTCTTCCCGTCCGCGAGATACTTGTAAGAAAGGACGGAAGGCACGGGCGTAGACCCCAACGCGACAGCGGCGTCCACGTCCACGATGCAGTCCTGGCGCACGATGATGATGGTGAGGCCAGCAGGACCGATGTTCTTCTGCGCACCCGCGTAGATTATCGCATGGTCCGCCAAGCGGGGGATCGGCCGAGACATGAACGACGAGGAATAATCCGCAACCAGGGGCAGCAACTTGTCCTTTGGCAGGAGGTGGAATGGGAAGGAGGATGCGTCCCCTTCGTCGTTGCTGAACTGCACCCCATCGACCGTCTCGTTCTCGCAGTAGTAGATCAAGGCGGGGTCCTGCGAAAAGGTATACGAGTCGTGAGGGGGGATGCTCTCGTATGATTTTCCATCGGTCGAATGGGCCTTGCCGTCTGCTGCGATGTTGATCTTGACTTGGGAGTTGGCTGTGAGCCTGGTCGCTTCCTTTACCGCAGCCTTGCTCCAGGAACCGGTAAGGACATAATCGATGGTGCGCTCCGAGTCTGCTACTTCCGGGTGCAGAAGACGGTGTCGGGCAAGCATATTCAGGACCACGGCTGCGAATTGGCCTGTTCCTCCTCCCTGGGCGAACAGGATCGAATGGGTGGAGGGGACATTGAGCTGCTCCCGGATGAGGCTCTCGACTTCGGTGAGGAAGGTGGTGAACTCTTTGGAGCGATGAGAAATCTCGGCGATGCCAATGCCGCTCCCTGCAAAGTTGAATAGGCCTGCAGCTGCTTCCTTCAGGACGCTATCTGGGAGGCAGGAGGGTCCAGCACCAAAGTTGATTGCTCTTGGAGTTTCGGCCGACATGATGGGGTTTAGTGGTCAAGGATGATTCGACTTGGACCGAGTCAGAATTGGGGGCTTAGAGCACGTCATAGGGGGCGGAGTAAATTGATTGGATTGTAGCAACTGGTACATGTAGCACGAGGGAGAGTATTGGTGGAAAAGCAGTGTCGCGAGGCTAAGGAAAATTTGAAAATGAGCGTCCGTGTTTACATCGAAAAATCTAAAAGCACAGAAAGCGTTGAACGTTAATACATAAGGACGTGACGGCGAAATAGCATGCGACATAAAGCGAATAATAATAGACGGGGGGATAAATGACGAAGATAGCGTTGGAGAAGACGGGGTGCTGTAGTGTATATGGTGTAGAGATGCTAATAGTGGGGAAATAAGATAAATGGATGCGAATATAAATTAATCGTGATGGATTGAGATGCGTTGTGCCGGTACGATTGTTGATGATTGAGTTGAACGAAGACGATGTGAAGATGAGAGCGAAAAAAGCAGGGAGAAATCAGATATTGATACAGGGCGAAGATCCGTCGTTGTTCACTGGCATTAGATTGCGGAAAAGGATTTTTGAAGGCAGGAACGGAGTGGGTGTTGGTGTCGCAGGAAGAGGGTGAATTTGAAGGGGAAGTGGTCGTGTCTCTGGGTCGTCGAGAGGACTTGAACGGAGCGACGACTTGCGGCGGCGAACTGGACCGGGCCCGGAGGTTGGCGCCTCTGGTTCGGAGCACGGCTCGGGAACGAGCGAGAGATCGGCAATGTCCCAGGGATTGCTCAGCTGGGGCGCAGCATTCAGAGCCGATATCCAGGGCAGCTGGTCGAATGGATGTGGCTGCCTTTCCAGACGCGGAAGACCCCGTCGACGCCGCAGCGAGTGCGATCCCACTGCCTTTCTCCGTCGCGACGGACATGTCTGTGCCAAATGAGCAATGCGCAGAGATTGACGCGTAAATGGCCACTTACAGGCAGCAGCGGGTGTTTGGGGGATTCAAAAGGGGATCTGAGACGACGGACGGGCTGTTGGCAGGGGTCAGCGGGATGAATGGGCTGCATGCAAGGCGTACGCACGGAGACAAAATCATCGACGGGATAGCACAGGGGGACGTTGATATTCGCCATGTCGAGGACGATTGGGGGACGCAGCACAGTCGGTTGATTTGGGGCCATTTGGTGTCGGGCAATGGGAGGCAGCCTTATTTATGGCTCATTACAGACACAATGCGGAAAGGAAAGACCACTCGAGTGCAGAGTCAGAATCCATTTCACACGCTATCTCCCCTGGCCCAGATCAGAGATCCCTATATCGGGAACACTCTCCATTTGGGCTCTTCCCCATCCGGCCAGATCTAGATCTCCACCCCCGCTCCCGACTTCCAGTTACTTCCAGACGCGTCAAGTACGAGCCCACGCAGGCCCACGCCTGGGACACGTCCTGCACAGTCATAACACGCGTCCAACACGCGAGAATACAATACAAGACTGACATCTCGAATCCTATTCCAGCTCAGAACCCGCTAGAACAACGGCAGATCAACCACCATCGCCCATGCTGTACGCCGTAAACAGTCAACAGTGCGCTTGCAACAATAGCAACGTCGGGGAGATCGCGGTCACCCATACCCTTTTGTTCATCACCATAATCTCGAAATTTGCTGACAGCTAACCCAATTTATTCACCCGTCGTCATGTCTTTATTTATGTAGAGTATCCAACCTGACGACCTTTTCTACGCAATGGCGGAGCACCATCTCTCCACCGAAATACGCTAGAACCGTGCTTGGGTGTCTTACAAACCTGGAGTATGGATTCATCCCCGACATAATCAAATGACGCGTGAATTGCTGTTAACAACGGTGGTATTTACCCGCTCCTTGGGACCGCCGCGTCGGTGTGAAAATCGCGAGCAACTCGCACGCCCTCTCTCCAATCACCCTATTATTCGACAAATACGGACATCCCCGCCCTGATCTGTGAGAAACCCGCCCTTATTTCTGGCCCATGGGGGACATGAAAATGCTGAAAATCAAGGAATTATCAAAGTTCTGCAGTTAAGCGAGCACTAGTCTCTCGTACCTTGCCGCAAGCGCTCCCTTTCCTTTGTCCCGCTGTCCATTAACAGTCTAGGACCAGCGCCGGATCTCCAGAGCACGTAAAATCCCCCCATTCAGTGGTCCCTCAATGGCAAAAATATCTCTTGGGTTGTGTTCCGATATCTGCCTGTCAGCGAGTTCCCTGGCGCGGCGCTGGCACACGGAGTGACCCCCCCGCTAGCACGATGATGGGCCCACATGCCAGTAACTTCTTGCTTTGTGCCCACCTCTACATGTGCAGATGAAATGATTGAGCCACTCCGAGACTCGCTTAGGGACGCTGCGGTGTGGTGGACGAATAGCAGCGGGCGAAATGGAACTTTCGAGAACCTGCTGGCCAACCCCCCTGTAATTTCCTACCAAGTGGGCGCAACAGAACATTTGGATTACGCTCGCCAACATCTACGACCTGGCAACCTGGATAGCCGACGACCCCGCTTTCCACCTTATGGGTTAATTGCTAGGAAGACTTGCCAAGTTTTAACCGACCTTGCCGGCAGTCTCGTAGTTCCACCACAGACGGAGCGAACATTGCACACCGACCTCGACACGGACTTGATCATGTACTCTATCGCCGCCTTGCTGCCTACCCACTGGCAACATCATTCTGCAATATCACTCCCGCTTGTTCTTGATATCGCGCAGTTTTAGCCTCACGTTGCGTCCACAAACTACCGCACTCTGCAAACTTTGTTCGTTCGGTCACTGCCCTCCGCAGACGTCGCTGTCGGCTATTCCTCACTTAGATGTGATGGAGCAACGCATCCGCGATCTTTGAACAATGGCATCACCCTCTTCCCTTCTTCATCGGAAGCAAGTTCACTGCCCTTTGCATTTCGGGGCACGCCGAGCAGCCCTAGGCTTATGCTTCTTCCGCTTGATCCCCATTCTTCTTTATCACTTTGGAGAGGGGCGCTGAGGTGTCTGGACTTTGAATTTAGCTCTGCCCACTGCGTTTCTTATTGTGATCACCAAAGCCTAATGGCAAGAGGGTGTGTGAGTTAAGCTCTGGCTGACTCTACCTGACTCTGGAGCTTCAACCTTCATCTGGCGAATGTCCCTCGTAGTGTACACAATTGCTTCTCTTTCATCA